CCCCCCCCCACTCTGCTAGACCAACAGTGACAAAAATTTTAATATTTTGGCATTTAAGAAAAAATTGTTTTGCAAGCCCCGAGCCCCAGGAGGAAACAAGAGTAAGTACAAAACTGCACAATATTACTAACAAAAAAAAAAAAAAAAAAGAGAGAAAAACAGAATTAAGATGCGATGAAGATGTTCTGAGAGGGTGGGGGTCAATACGTTAGCCATTTTGCAACTAACTTTAAATAAAACTTAATAAATAAGGCTTAATGCCATAAACGTAAGACTCCAACAGCAAATAGATAGGTGAAGAAAATAAGAAAGTAATCTCAATAAAAAGCAAAATTTCAAGAAGGCAGGGATTGATGGAAAAATATGGTGGTGTTTGTGCTATTTTTATTAATGATGTCACTTAATCTGCTCAAAAGGTGGGAAGTCAAAAAAAAAATAATAATACATTTTCCAGCACACATTACTTCTGATTGTTAAATAAAATTAAACCAACAAAATGATAAATACTAGCCAGGACCTACTTCCAAACAACATAATTTGTTCAGTGGAAGCCTTAGCTACCACAGATGTGAGGCCAAGAAACACGACCGGCAAAGCATCAAGGAAGGATGAGTGAGGGGCTAGCAAGAGTAGCGGAGCATCTTTTGAACTGGCCTGCTTGCCTTTCACGTTTACCCAATACAGTCCTCCAGCAAAAAATACGCCCCGGCAAAGGACCAGAACAATGGGCCTCAAAAATCTATAAAAGATATTTTTGATGATGACATGATAAAATTGACCATTCTTTCAGCAAAATTTGGCAGTGACTTCTTATTTGAACTAAGTGCTTGATGAAAAAATGGGGAATTATTGCTGCTAAATGAATGGCTGCTAGGAGAGGGTGGGGAAGTGCACACATGGATTTAAAATATATAAAAACTGTAATTAAAGATAATAACATTTCTCACTCAGCGAGAATTAAGAATAGATGTCAAGAGGGCACTAAAGATTTAAGTATAATGATATAATATAAACTAAACTTTTCTTTTCAAGGTATAAACTTTCTTTAACTGGTAAAACAAATTTTATTTCATTTGATTTTTAAAATTTTTAAATTAAACAAAAATCATCATAAATTAAAGCTAGCAAATTATTTTAGGAATTTAAACTAATCAAAGGCAGATTAAAGTAATAATTCTCATGCAACTGACGTGGTAAGCAGTAGCTATGGTAGCAGTCGATATTGATTAAAATGTGTATAAACTTCTACACTATTACAGAGCTTTCAAACTAAAATCAAAACAAATGTACAAAGTATGAATACTTACAAGCGCCATCCAGACATAGGTTTTAATTTATCCTCTTCAGATCGAAATGCTACAGCAAGAGCTGCAAATGGCCATGCGAGTAATAGCAGAAGAATAACAAGAACTAAACGAATTGGAGCAATTGTGACCGACATGACAGCAATCTGAAGAACAAAAAATTGATACAAAAATAATTAGTGAAAATAATGAAAAGAGTAGGCTAACATAAATAATAAGTAATAACTTACTAATTAAAGTAAAAAATTTATATATTATTCAACCTTAGTTATAGTAATCTACCATTAGTAAGCAATTAGTCTGATTTTTTGTTTAAATGTGTCTGTTTAACGTCTTTAATCTTTCAAATTTAGTTTTATTTAGTGCTTATAGTGTTCAGTCTCATTTCATTTAGGACTATTCCTACTACTACTAGGCTATTCAAATGGTTTCATAAAGTTTAAAAATTTAAGTTTTAAGGCAAAGACATAATAAAATTAGTAAGTACCCCCCTTTGACTATGACCTATGATGCCTATGTGTATAACTAAGTAGCCAAGTAGGCCTAATGATAACTAATGCTTTGCCTATAATTTATAATAGCATATAATTAGACACTGTTGCATGAATATATAGTATATATATAGGCCTACTATTAATTTATATTATAAATTATAGTAGGCCTTATTGAATAGGCCTAGGTCAAGTGGGAATGTAAATTGTATTAGTAGGCTTTTTGTAAGTTGACAAGTTGTAGTCAATAGACACTGTAATGTCTGTAACTGTAGTGTTATGGGCCTAAAACTAAAGAAACAGTCTCAAACTTACTAATTAGCTTATTAGCTTATATTAGCCTATATATTAAAAATTTAACTTAAACTTAAACTAAAAAAAAATATTAATATAAAAAAATTATTAATAATAGTAGGCCTAAATTATTAGTAGGCTAATGCCAAAGTTAGAGCCTAAACTAAGATAAGTTTTTTTTAAAAAGCCTTTAAAAAAAAAAATAAGCCTTACTTAAATTTTTTTTATTTTTTTTAAATTGGATAAATATATAATAATAATTATTGGTATATTATTTAGGCATTTAGGCTTAGGCCTAGTTAGTTCTATCCTAATAATATTCCTAAGCTTATGGCCCAAGTCTACATATTCAGTAGTAAATAGTAGGCTTAACCATTAAAATTAATTGACCCATTCTCTAGTTAATTTTAATACGATTGTTTCCATATTTTAAATTTTTGTTTTGGTTTATTTGTTTTAATTTTTAAGTTCAAGTTTGCGTTTAGTTTTAATTTTATTTAACAGACCTGTATTTTATCCCGCAAGCTCAACTCAAGTTCATGCACAAATGGATTAGTGACGTCTGGCATTCCAAGAGATTTCTGTCGAGGCACAGTATTTCTTGTCATTGTGATAAGAACTATTATGACCGGTTTTTAGCGTTCCGAAAAAGTTCAGTGTGTTATTAGTGTTGTGAAACCATCGCTTCCTGATTCACCACAAATGTGTACAATCCTCTTTGTCGCCAGATACACCGTATTGAGCTTCCGTTAAGACATGCGCACTTTGGCGTTGTGCGGGATTATGGTAAGATAGGAACTGTGGGAACGATACGATTGCTGTGCTGCAACACCCAAGATGGCAACCAGATTCAGTAATTAAAAAGATAAATTGTGGGTTTTGTTTGACTGTGAAATCACTCAAAACTCTGAGATTTAACAATGGAACAGCCACAAGAACGAACAGGGAAGCAGTCTGGCGAGTTTATAGTGGGCCTTAAATACAGATTGGTGCGTAAAATCGGCAGCGGATCGTTTGGTGACATTTATCTTGGGATCAACATAACAAATGGAGAAGAAGTGGCAGTGAAACTTGAATCTTGTAAAGCCAGACATCCACAACTACTGTACGAAAGTAAGTTGTACAAAATATTACAAGGTGGCGTGGGTATTCCACACATTCGTTACTATGGCCAAGAGAAAGAATATAATGTTCTCGTTATGGATCTTCTGGGACCAAGTCTAGAAGACTTGTTTAACTTTTGTTCGAGGAGATTCACAATGAAAACAGTACTTATGCTTGCGGATCAAATGATTGGACGTATTGAATACGTACACAACAAGAATTTCATTCACAGAGACATTAAACCAGACAATTTCCTAATGGGAATCGGAAGACATTGCAATAAAGTCTTCTTGATTGATTTTGGTCTGGCTAAAAAGTACAGAGACAGCAGAACCCGTACTCACATCCCATATCGTGAAGACAAAAATTTGACGGGTACTGCAAGGTATGCTAGCATCAATGCCCATCTTGGTATTGAGCAGAGTCGAAGGGATGATATGGAATCTTTAGGCTACGTGCTGATGTATTTCAATCGAGGTAGTTTGCCATGGCAAGGTTTGAAGGCAAATACTAAAAAGCAAAAATATGAAAAAATCAGTGAAAAGAAAATGTCAACTCCAGTTGAGGTTCTTTGCAAGGGTTTCCCTGCTGAATTCGCCATGTATTTGAATTACTGCAGAGGCCTCCGATTTGAAGAGGCTCCTGATTACATGTATCTACGCCAGCTTTTCAGAATCCTCTTCAGAACCCTCAACTACCAGTATGACTACACATTTGACTGGACCATGCTGAAGCAAAAGGCAGCACAAGTTGCGCAGTGCACTACAGCTGCTGCTCCCGCTACAGGGAGAGGTTGACACTTAACATTCAAGATCTCATTTCGCTGTCAATCCTTCCAACAGCACATCAAACACCACGTAACAAACAAACAGAATCAAGCAGGGATTACTGATGGATGCATGTTTTTTCTTTTTTTTGCTCTCATTTATCTTATATTGTCTACTGTGGCAACAAAATTAATAATTATTTCAATTCATATAGAAGTAGTATGACTAAAAATCCAGTCTAAATTTATGTTATAAAATATATATATACAGTACATAAATGTAATTATCATTTCAAACAAAAAAAAAAAAAGAATCACATGAAATTTTAACACGAAACCGACTGTCACCACTTTCATGTATGATGTCCAATTTTTAAAAAGATTTAAAAATTAAAAAAAAAAAAAAAAAAAAATCCAGTCTAAATTTATTTTAAAAAAAATATATAAAAAGTACAAAAATGTAATTATCATTTCAAACAAAAAAAAAAAAGAGTCACATGAAAGTTTAACACGAAACCGGCTGTCACCACTTTCATGTATGATGTCCAATTCTTAAAAAGATTTAAAAAGTAAAAAAAAAAACAAAAACAAGATGATATTCAAATAAAGAAACTTTTTTGGCTGTACTTATTGCTGTTTTTCATTATTTTTTATGAATGTAATTTGTTAATATAGGTAGATAAAAAAATTCTGCACCACTTCATGTGAGGGATCTTAAAAGGATAAAAGATAACAACATAAGCTTATTTGTTTTATTTGGTTTTCTTTAAAAATATTTACAAAAATGTTTGTTTTCCTTTTTATGATTGTTTATTTTGCTCCTTTCTGGGACAAGTGCTAGAGTTCTTTGATGTCAAAGTGATCAATTCTGGCACCTAAAGTAGATTTCTTGTTGAATCACACATTTTTGTGGGGGTTGTTGTGTTATTATGTGTTAATATTAGCTCATGAATTGTTCCACTTTTTTAAAAATCTTAATTTTCAAAATTTATGAATTTGTTGGTTGGTATTAGAATTTGTTTCTAAAATTTCTATCTCTTTACCCAGTAAGCGATATAAATGTGTAATATTCTGAAGTTTTACCTTTATTGTTTAGGTTATGTTTTTATTTTCTGAGAAAAAAAGTTAAGATACAAAAATTTCAAAAGTAAGTGTGCTGATGATTACCTTTAAATTTTAAATGAAAATAAAATCAATACATTATTTTGTAATTAACTCTGTTAAATTTCCCAATGCACCGTACACAGAAGACACTGTACACAGAAGAAATTAGGGTATTAAGTTATGATTTGTATGTCTTGAAACTTCAGTTAAAATGTCTAACATTTCTTTTCCAATTTTTATTTGCCTACAGCTACTCTGCATATACATGCATACCATTATATGCTATTTGGTTATTCATTATTACTTTTCTAATCCTTAATTAGTTAAATTAAGGAACTTCAAATGCCTCTTTCATGTCACCATCACAAGCTTACACTGGCTTAAATTTGCAACTATCTTACACATTCTTTCAAAAATTGTATGGTACAATCTTTTTTTCACTCACTCACAGTTCTGTTAGTGTACAGTTGCAGTGATCATCAGAAGCTATTCCTTGCTTTACTTTTTAACTTTGAAATGAATCCTGTGGCTTAACATTGTACAAATACTGTCAAAATGTACACAAAAACTACCTGTGCTACCTCCTTTCGTAAATCATAGCCATGTATATTATTATGAACATAACTGTGCCCATGCCTGGATTTCTTTTTTTTTTTGTAATGCTAGCTGTGTGTCAGTGTCGCTTTTATCATATCTAATGATCAAATTATACAACGCAAGTATAAAGAAATAAAAATATCAATTTTAACATCCCTCAATGTGGAAAGGCCAGCTAATTTTTTTATGTTAAAAATGGAGGACTAAATCACGGTATATAAAATACACAGTCATCTATTGATTTGTACACTGGTTCTTTTGTTAATGAAACCAACATGTAAAATAATTCAATTTTTAAAATCTTTTTGTGAACGCTGAACTGTTAAAAAAGTTTTAGATCATGTCAATTTTGGTTTTTCTTTGGCTTACGAGTAGTTAAACCCAAATTTTCCATTTATTTTCAAAATTTTTATAAGAATCAACTATTAAATGTTTTTAATTTGTGGTATACCACAACTAACAACTTGACATTTTTTTCGTTTCAACTTCCCTATCTCTGTCTGGAACGTCTCTTCCCATTTTGTTTGCTGTAGAAATTTTATGGGACCACATACATTCAGATGTAGTCTTAGAGTCGCTACCTATTATATTTATTTGAAAGGTAAACATATCGTAACCGAATTATAATTTTTTAATAAATTCGCTTCAATAGGACTAACCCTTGCGCTTTGTAAACACTGAAGGTACTCCAATGGGCTACTAATTTAGCCAGTTAAATGGAACCATGAAAAAAAATATGAATTTGCTTATTTGTTCTAAAATCTTTTCAAGTTCTACTTTTGATGTGAGCGTTTCAAAGACTTTGTCATCAAGATGCTGCTGACAAGTATTGTACTGCAGAGTATTTGTGTACCAAGTATTGACTTTACAACAAGTTTGGTGAATTTGAAAGTTTTCTTTTTAAACACTGACGTCATTACATTTGTTGCTTTTTCTATTGTTTATGCTTGTTCTGTTGTTCAGGCTTGTTCAATTGTTAAGGCTTCTGTGCACTTTGGGGTTAACAAAATTCATATTACTGGTATTTATTTTATAACTTCCTTTAACTTCAAGGGCATAAATTAAATTTTTAAAAATTACATTTACTCAAAATTTGATCCTCGCGTAGTATCTCATATTTAGCTTTAGCATCATAATTTAACATTCAACAATTCATTTGATGGATATATTTTCTTGTCCCATATGATTTTAAAGTCCTTTGTCTTTTTTGGGTGCAACTTTAAGTTTGTTGATTCTGATGGTTTGAAGAATTACTAATTGCTGTGTCATATATGATTCTGATTTTGTTGTTACATTCATCCTGTTTCTAAGAACCAGTGCTTCTCAAACATTTACATTTTAATGATAATTCTTAAAGGACAAAAATTATAAAGTCACATGTGAACTATTCCTCCATGTTTTAAAAAAAAAAGTAATTAAGAATAACCAGATTATATTACATACACTCCTGCCCACTGTTAATCAAAACTTTTCTTTCAATCTCTTTAAAAAATGTTCAAGAAACACTGGCGTTCAATCAACAAGTAAATGCAAAAGATACTTATGTTTCCATTTGGCTATTGCTGTGTGTTGAGACTGGATGTTGAGGTGTTTGGTGTCCTGAATTCAGTGTGATTAGCAGTGGTGGTCTGTAAATGCTCTCAACTTACAGTAAACATGATCACCTGCATTGTGGACATTTTAGTTTTCTTGATAAATCATCCTATGAGACTAAAATGATTGTGTCCATTCTAAATGCCAATAATTTCAACATGAGGAGAATGAATCACACTTGTTTATTAATTCCATGTAAAAACACATGTACAGTTTTTTTTTCTTTTTCTGTGTTTCTTTCCTTGTATAACAGCTTTTTGAAGCTGTTCTTGTAATTTTCATTGTTAAATATTGTCTGAGTAGAAAAGTCAACCATTTCTATGGATTTCTTTCTTGTGAATTTGCTTTGAAATTCCTTTTTTCAAAATATACGTTTTTTAAAATTAAATTTTTGTTGGTCTGCTTATTCCCCGCCATTTAATTAAAGATAAAATAGCTCATATAATTATAATTGATAAACATTACATATGTATGTATTTTAACTTATGGCCATGTACTATTATTATGTTTTGTTTCATTTTTATGACATGGAATTATTGGAATTACATATTTTATTTAACTTTTGAAAAATTAGTTATTTGTCATTTTGATATGCTTCAAATTTTACAAAACTCCGAGGATGACTCTGGTCTAGAAAGATTTTCTTAAAAACATTTACCAGTTATGAAACTAATGTTTAACAGATATTTATTTATTGCTTGTAATGACTGGGTAAATTTGAAGAATGACATACTTGTTAAAATCTATTTTCTGAATTTCAATGATTATTTATTTCTGTCCTTGAATAACTCTGTGAAAACAAGAATTAATTAGCAGGTGAAAATACTGAGATATGTTCCTATTAGTTTGATATATATTTTTGAATCTTCATATTTTTAAAGCCTGGAAATTTCATTAAAACTCATTGCTCAATGCACATGTTGGCACAGGTCAATGTAACAAATGATTCAGTTTGGCTCATTTATCCTGTCCTGTTTGACAGTTTTGTACATAAGAGATGGAGACAGCAGCAAGTCAAGTCAAAGCACACCAAGCACTGTTTGACTGTTGGATTAGTTTTAAGTACAAAATGAAATCTACCCAGAAAAACAAAGTTTGCTTTACTTTGCACAATGCTCTTAAAATGACATTTCACAATAGAAGATATAAGGATAAGACACAATCTTCTACTGTAGCAGTATCAGATACTTTTGTCAACCTTTTTTTTTTTTTTTAAATCTGTATAGTTTATTTAGTCATAATCTCTTTAAATGCTGGTCTAACTCAATGAGGCAGATATTCCACCCGTGTGCTACTTTTGGGTTAACTTTATTTATCAGATACTTTTGTCTTTCTTTTTTTTTTTTTTAAATCTGTATAGTTTATTTAGTCATAATCTCTTTAAATGCTGGTCTAACTCAATGAGGCAGATATTCCACCCGTGTGCTACTTTTGGGTTAACTTTATTTAAGGTGAGCCGTCGTCGGTCATGCCGATCAAGCAAATGAGTTTTATTTACCTTCCTCCTGTGTTGTATTTACTGAAACGTTAACGTGGTCGTCCATCATCTTGCTGTATATATTTCTATAATAATGTTCACCATGGCTATATTATCTGTTGATTGTCCCTGCACAGCCAGTACACATGTACTCAGATGATCATTGAATCATTTGCTAAATGTCAAGATCTTTGTCATTTGATTAAGTAAAGAAAACTATTTTATACCAACTGAAATATTTGTTGATGTAGAATCAAGTATTGCCATTGTAATGTTTAAGTAAGTTTGTTGTCAGGTACCATTGGAAACAATTTTTTGTATCATTAGAGCTAAAGTTAAATTATTTATTTGTTTCTAATATTATTTCTTTTTTTTTTTGTTATACCATTTTTGTATAAGACTAATGATGGGGAGAAAGACGACCAACACCAACAAGAAAGTAAAAGCAAGTGAAATTAATATAATGATGATACAGTAAACTATTGGCTAGCACTAGCATATATTATAAATTGTTTTTTTAAAATGTCAGCTAATCTGGTAAATAGAGTTAAAAATTAATTGACGTCTGTTCATTAAGTAGGTATTTATTTTTATGGCAATATATACCAGCACGCCATCTGTGATTGTGTCATTTAACCCTTACCCGCCCGTATGATAAGGAACAATTATTGCTATTTCTGCTTTTTTTTTCTTTCTATGAAGGGTACTAGATACTACTGTAACAGATCATAGAACTTAACATTTTCTTCCATACCATGAGGTCAGAGCGGAACATATTGGCATCGGCTGTATATTATATGTGTGCTTCTTATTCATGAAGAATAAATGTAGACATTCATAAATGAAATGAAAATAGTGTGTCATTTGTTTGAATGTATCCTGTTGGTTATTGTTACTGTCATTTGTTTGAATGTATCCTGTTGGTTATTGTTACTGTCATTTGTTTGTATCCTATCTGTTGGTTATTGATACAAGTTGCAAGCATTTCACAATAGCAATGTTTTGGTTGTACTTGTAAATTGGTGTAAGCTGCAAGGGACTTAACTAAATTATTTCAATATACATTTTCAGAAAAGGTTGGGGGGGGGGGGGGGGGGGGGATTTATTATTACCATACATTGACCAGCCATGGCTTACATTTTTAAACTAAAACTTTACCATGTAACATCGGGATAATTTGAAGGATATGTTTAACTTGATGTTTCAAGAACCAATTCTTTTTTTTTAATTTTTTATCAAAAGAGTCATGTAGTTGGACTCAAGTTTCTGTAGTTTGAGGATCCATTGAAAAGCGAAGTGTGGAGGTTATCTAGCCATTAAATTAAGTGTCTAACTTATAACTGTTAATATTGACACATTAGTGAAACCAGCTACCCTGGTCACACCTTTGTACTCAACCTTACTTGATGTTATCAGCAGTCATCTTTCTGATTTAGGATACATGTTTAATTAAGGTGTGGTCGTCTGGGTGCCTTCTTTATTTAGACATGACAAGCTATCCGTTTCTAAAAATAGAAATGTCGCACGTCGTTCATTTGAGATAACTCAATCATCACTGGTCTAAAACATGAAACTACCTTATGACAAAATGCAAACCTCATACTCGTACTGTGCTTACCGGGTACTCATTAAAAAACACGCACTCAGAAATCATAAAGTATGTAGGGCCTGCTTACTTTAAATACCGGTAATATTCTTTAAAAATTCGAATACTGCGTCTATTATAGGGGGCTCAAAGGTTGAGTAAACTAGGACTATACTCTAAATGATCTCAATGTATTTTTTCCGGGCAAAATGCCTAATTAAAGTATACGTTAATCAGTTTTTTTTTTTTTTTAATGCTGCTCCAAGAGTAGAAGAAAAACTTTGTGTGGGGGTGGGGTAGGGTTGTTACTCTCTTTGGCATTTTTTTGTCCCCATTATGATTTGTATATCAAATTTAGAATTATGAATGACCTATTGTTTAAAAAAAAATTATATACTGGTAATTTGGAGTCTATTTTAGCACTGTAAAAGTTTGAGTTGACCCAGTGTAGCTGGAGGCTACAGCCCCTCACCCTTCCTAAGACTAGCAGGGTTGCTCACTCTTAACAGCTTAGATAACTGCGAATTATGCTGGTGAATAGATTTTTTTTGTAACCCTTGCAGATCTTGAACTCTCCTTAGCAAATAGTGTAAACTACACCAACAGCAGTGCCCAGGGCCATTAAAGAGCAAATCCAAGTTCTAGGCTCTCACAAATTTTGAAAAAAATTGCCAGCCAATTTTTTGGGGTTGTTTTTGATAATGAAATATAAATTTACTAAACTTGGGTTAAACTTCAAGATTTCTTCAACCAAAATTATTTTATTTTAATAGTAAAAGTAAATGAGCTCCTAAGTGAACAGTTAGTAATTAGTAGCTGCAAAAACAAGGATTTTTCTTCTTTTGTTGTAACCAGCTTCAAAAACTGTGTATATTCTATTTGTGCAGGCAAAATTTTCTGTTTTTGTTAAATATCTGATTTGTGCTCATCAAAGCAGCACTTGGAAGAAAGTCAGTATTTCTCAAAGTTGGGTATATGCCCCAAAGGGGGACAATTTAAAGAGGTTTGTTGATTTGGGGGGGTGGAATGTTTGACGTGACACTTTTTTGGTAAATTTTGCAATCAAACGTATTTCATTAGGTAAAATATTGCGAAGTTGCTATTCGGACCCGGGTCTGAGAAGTGAGAGGTTGGGATTAAAATATAAAAAAATATGATCGTTAGGTTGTAAGACAAACGTTGGTATCAGATGAAAGATAATTTAATGGACTAGATGTTTTTAAAGTTACTTCTTCAGTTAAACTAAAATAAACTACCACAAATGACATCTGAATAGCATTTAATGGGACCCGGGTCCGAATAGCGGCGTTGGGTTTCCGTTTCCATTTTGGCTAAATACAATTTATAAACCCAGCAGCCAAAATATTGACCGTATAAAAAAAAAAAAAAAGGCCAAGGCTCCACGGGCAAAGAATTTAAAGGCAATTCTTCTGACGGCAGGATGGATAACTCTTTATTTAGTCGGCAGGAGCAATAACTCTTTATTTAGTTTTTGCCACCAGTTAACGTTCTTGGGGGACTTCGATGGGGCAAAAAATTAGTGAAACAAACTGACTTAAAATCTTGATAAAATTGATAGGACAAATATTTCCTGAACAGGTATCTCAGCATTTATAATGGCATAGGTAATTTTTTACAACAAAACATTATTTTGAAATTTATTTGCAGACCAAAAAAATGTCAACAACATTCAAAACAATTAAGACCATTCACAACAATTAAGACTCATTTTTAAAAAAAAATATATATAGAAAATTAAAATTTATTTCAAAATATAATTTATTTACTATTATCAGTTAATTCTTTTATAACTTAAAAATTTTCACACCATACAAACCCTAAACTTCATACATGAATTTACTTTCTTAACAAAATCATGCATAAATCCATCTTAATGAATCATCACATAGATGACATTTATTTAAAAAAAACAACAACAAATTACTAAAAAAAATGTCCCAACATTGCACAATGCCATTCTCTAAAAAATGTCCCAACATTGCACAATGCCATTCTCTTGATTTTAAGCTACTGGAACAATAAAGTTCATCTGACATAAATGAAACAATTATGAATGCATTCTAAACATCTCTTTTCCAGACAAGCATCTAAAGAATAATAATTAAACTTGCTTGGCTAGTTTTTTTATACATCAAAGATCTTAGCAAGAAAAAAAAAGTTTAAAGTTGATTTAAATTTAAGGCCTACAGAAAGTCTGCACAATTTTGTAAGAATCCACTGTTGCAATAATCCAGATTATTTGAACAACTTTATCATTACTCAGGAATAGAAGGATTCATCCAGCGGCCAGACAATTCTTTCTTTAAAAGATTTTTTTTTTAAAAAATGAACAAGTGGTCCCTAAAACATAAACTAACATCATCTTTTAATTGTGTCAACAATTTTCTGTTCACACTTGCTCCCATTTGTTTCACAATTTTCTTTGCTGCCTTCCATAAGCACACAAGTGTCTGTCCCACTAATTGCCAACTCACAACTGTCACTAAACGTCTCGCACTTTTCTTTGATGTCCTCCAGTTTAACCTGCTTGCACTCATCCTGACAGAAACCTGACTTTAACAATCTCGTCCCATTTTCTATGACTGCATCAGAATTTACCAGGTCCCTCCACTTCCTGCGGAGCTCTTCGGTTTCATTTTGAGGTTCACAGATCCTTCCATCATCTTGACCATTAGCGACTAAATAACAAATAGCTGCACTCTGTTCCGCTAATTGCTTTGCTCTTTCCCTAAAAGGTGATAAATAAAAAAAATAATAATTCAATTCTAATTAAATATCTAGCTCATTGTTGGCAACAAGTAATTTCAAAATTCTATACATTTTCTGTCATGTTAATATCCATGATTCAGTTATGTCCCCAGATGTGCTCACAAGGTTTGCATTAATTTCTATGATTCAGTCATGTCCCCAGATGTGCTCACAAGTTTTGCATTAATTTCTATGATTCAGTCATATCCCCAGATGTGCTCACAAGTTTTGCATTAATTTCTATGATTCAGTCATGTCCCCAGACGTGCTCACAAGGTTTGCATTAATTTCTATGATTCATTCATGTCCCCAGATGTGCTCACGAGGTTTGCTTTTCTATAAGTTTCAACTAATGTTCCTAATTAATATTTAAAACCTATTGTTCTGCATAAATAAGGTTAACTTGTAATTTTGTATTACATTATATAGCTACATTAATGAGAAACTACTTTACACAAATTATGTTAATGTAAAAAAAATATTTTTATTCATTAAAAAATTTAAAAAATAAATTTATATTTATGTTATGTAAATTTTTAGTCAATTTAAATTTTTAAAATTAAAATTAAGAATTTAAAAAAAATAGTGTCCACATTTTCATCTTTTAGACCAGAAGCCTATACACTTATTATACTATAGATATCTACTTACAATTTTTCTAATTATAAAAAAATTGTTATTACCAGTAAGGATTGGTGTAAAACTTTCCATCCACCAGGACAGTGCTACGGAAACATCTGTCCTCCGATCTCTCAGTCTGAAAAGAAAAGAACCAGCAAAAAAAAACAATAATAACCTCTTAAAAATCAATTACATATTCACTGATAGCATCTCAAGGAAACCAAAATAAAAAAAACTTCACTTTCTTCATGTTACCTTAACAAATAATTTAAAAATCTAAAACAAATTTAATAAACTTACAGTATCATAAACTGGCTTTTCTTTTAGGGATTTCTTGCAGTGATTATTGAGAATCTGTTTTGGTGTCATGGTGGTAGGGTAATTCCGCCTGAAAGTTATCACAAACTCAAGTTTAGTGTCAGAAATATATGATTTCATCACACATGAAACACATGGCAACATGAAACTCACAAGTTAAGTACCCGGTACCAGAGATAAATGAGTTCCTCTTCTTTTAGCACATATGGCATCATGAAAGTCACAATGTTCGACACCGTACAAGATCAAGGAAAACATAAATAGATTCCCTAAATATTGCTAACATTTCCATTGAACAGTGCAGGAGGAAGGCAACAATGAAGTATTGTTAAAATTCATGAAGGATATTAAAATATATTTTAACAAAAAAATGTAATGAATAAATGTATTGAATCCGACAAGGAATTTTTTTTAAAGTCAGTGACTCTCAAACAAATAAAATTAAGCACTTTCTCTTGCTATTAAATTTAATGAATTAGTTTCACGATCTACATTTGTTTTCTAGCCCTTTGCGCCTTTTTTTGTGTGAATCTTTAGACATCAATAAAATCTTTAACTTGGAAGAAATTAGGTTAAATTTGTTAACTTAAAAGAAATATAAAATAAATCATGGTCAATAATTCAGAATATTTTAAAAATTATTCCCCTTTAAGTTGCAAAATAAATTTAAAAAATAATTGTAGAATCATAGGCAAAAAGTTTTAAGTGTACGGTAAATATATGTGAATCATTAATATCATACTTGAATTTTTACAATATGTATGACCCAACGGTGATGCACCATCGTCTCACGAGACGGAAGGATGCCGATTATTATGAGTTTAAAACTAATTCCAACTTACTTGTCAAACCTAACAGGTAACTCAATCAAGTCATATCCACTTTCTGTTTTTCTCCTTTTGACGCCCCTACAGTCCCCTCCTGCTAAATCAGCCAGGTGTTTTTCCTTTTCTTGTCGTTTCTCCAAAACATGCGCATACTCTTCTTGCATGCCCCATATATTACTAGATTAAATGTCAAAAGAAGAGCAGGGTGAGTAAATAATATGTCGAAACTTAAACTTTATTTAAGTACGGGATGTACTAAATGAGTTAAAGACTGATAAAAAAAGAATAATTTACTGTAATAATGATCAAAGTGACAAATTTGGCAAAGACCTTGGGATACTAATAAAACTATTTTTTTGACTCCAAATCTTCAGTCTATATATTATTATGTGACCTTGATCATGTCAAAAAAAACAGCAGTACATGAGTAGAAATACTAGACAGCTTAACCCCGAAAATACCCATACTCCTACAAGATGTCTGCCCTTGAGCACGCCTGTGATTATACTGAGCATCTCTGTGAGCAGATCTATTGTGAGCAAGTCTGTCATTTATCATCATAACAGCCTTGCAAAAGTCTATGCAACATTTCTATTCAAACCTACTCTATTCCAAACAACATCTTAAAACCTACCCTAATCTATACAACATCTGCATTCTATGTAACATCTGCTAAATCCACACAACATCTGTATTCACACTTACGCTAAATCTTGTAAGGACTTCGCAGACAGACTTTGTTCAGCCTCTGGGATCTCTGTCATCTTGTCATGTAGAATTTGTAACACGGAATACTTTGTGTTCATCTCATTGTTGTCATAAAAAAATGCCTTTAGTTCATATAAAAAAAAAAGAGGTCATCTGCATGGTCCACTTTTAATAAAAGTAGCAAATACATTTATAATATTAATAATTTGTATTGTTTCGTTGAATTATTTAAGCTTCATTAATTTAATATACAACACTGTTTGTTCAAGCTAGATTTTCATTAGACATTTTAGAGCATTACACACTGCACTGTCAATCACTTACATATCTGAGATAACTCTTTAGGACTTCTAATGTTGGTAGTGGCCCCTCTTTCCTAAAAACTGAAGAGTTCCACATTGCTGAACGAGCTAGCATCACAGAACTGGCACCGGTACGTTCTTTAAACTTTTCAACATCCAACATATGTTTGATATCTTTGGAGCCTCCACTGGGAAGGGAAAATTTAATATGACATAACCACACTAACAAATATTGCTTCCTTTAACAAATTTCTATTTAAAATTCACATAAATGTTTTAATATAGATTTTACAAAAGCATTCCCATTGGTAACTGAAGAGTTGCTTGAAACAAAGAAATAGAAACACATACACAGTACGTGCTTAAATTTACAATACTGAAACTCACGCATCTCAAACGCGTACATGGGCCAGCGGCAACAAGGTCCCAGTAGTCAAAAGGAAGATATGTTGGGTAATTGTATTTGTAAATAGGTGTGTCAGAACACGTATTCATAGATGACCATTATTTTCTTCATACAGAAGCAGTTGGGAATGGGGACAGAGTTTGACAAAAAAGTTGTCAGGACAATGCCGAGAGATATTTAATTAGACAGCACCAAGTAACATGGTTGTGCTATTTGTTGTTATTAAATTTTGCCGTTAAATGATTGAAACAATCTCAACAATCAATAACTTAAATCTTGCAATATCATCTGGCTTCCTTTACTTTGCAATGACTGGCACTCTGACAGCTTCTGCCACAGCTCTGATGTAATCATCTCGATTAGGGTCTTGGGACCGCTCCGATTTGGTTCTGCCGTGAACTCCAATGGCAGAGACACCGGTTGACTCAATCAGTTTGGCTAATTCTACTGTGTCTTGCACCTGGATAGAGATATAGGTTTGTGTATAAATTTCAAGATAGAATTGGCACAATGAAACAGAATGGGTGAATTAGCACCGACCTCTTCACCAGATCTGATCAGTGACGATTTAAAGTACCAACACAATTCTCATACCCTGAAGCAACTCATCATGAATTTTACCCATCTTCTCAAACTTTTTGTTGTCTTTACACTTGAATTATTTTTTTTACAGAAAACAAGCCGATAACTTACACTGGGCAAAACACGTATCTTACATGTTACGGGTACGTCCAGCTCACTGACCAACGTGGTTAAAATCTGTTAACAACAAAAAAATGTTGCAAGTGAATCTAATACATTAATTAAAAAACACTAATTTTATAAATAGCATGTGCACTTACGCTATGGTGAATGATGTGCATGAAAGGGAAATTGAATTTTAAGAACACTTATAAATAATTGCAAGTCATTGTTACAGCAGAATATGTTATACGGCACAACTATAAGTGGAGATGTTCTGACATTAAAATAAGCTTACATTTTTCACTTTCTCATGTTGGGTCAGAAGTGCTGCTCCCATGCCACCCTGTTAAAAAAAAAAAGAGTTAACAAGCTTTAAATCAGAAAACTGGAGGGCAGAGATAAAATAAAAAAACATTTTGATAAGGATTTTGCAGCGAGTACACTACTTTGAAATTTTATTAAATCCACGGTCTGCTTAATGGACAGTGTAGTGCCCCTACCTCTCCTAGAACCCACTATGGAAATTTGGATCATTTGTCATGGTTATGTTTTTAGCATAGAAATATCCAGAGCCATAGGCCCCTAAAATCATTAAATGGCAAGGGTCCTCCAAAAGTCATGCGAGGGCTCTTGTAATGTCTAAGTCAAATATATTATTCTGACCACAGCTGACTCTATCAGAAAATGCCTGGTTCATTATTTAGCTATTATTTTACACTAAATTTATGTTTCCAAGTTCAAAATTAAAGCTGAAAATAAAGAATGTTACTGTAGAGTTAACTAAATAACTTAGGTTGAATAAAAAGAGTACAGACCTTGATAGAAAACTCTTTAGGGCATCCCATGTTGACATCCACCCCAGCAACAAGGTGCTGTCTGGCAAAATAAAATAATGATATGATATAAATATATAATATCAATAATCAAATTCTTAAAGAAAAAATATGTAAGAAAAATTGTTTTTGGGAGTTTTTATTTATACAATACTTAATCTCTACCTCATCTGTTATAAGTAATCTAAATACAGACGCTTCCCGCTTTACGAACTTTCATTTTACAAAATTTCATAGATACGAAATAACCTGTCCTCAAAGTGAAATTTGTTCGGAACACAACCCATTCATTTAGTGGGGAGAGTCTCATTGCATCATTAGATATTTGTCATGGCTTTAAAGTTATAGAAAGTGTGTTGTATATAATTGCATTTGTAAACAGATACTCAGAAATTATTTCAAATAAAATCCACTTACATCTTCTTAGCTGCCGCAAGAGCCCGTTTTGCATCACATGTTCCCTACAAAAGAAATACTTTTTTAAAACTATGACTCATACAAACATACATTTTATGGAAATAAAATTTCTTTTATTTTCTATTTTTAATGTTATGTACCTCACAGTGCTGAAGATTTTAAATCAATGCTTGCAGTTTACAGCAATTTAATCCCAAACTTAAAGATAGATCATAAACAACAGAAAATACAGGCGAAAGGGTTATTTAAAATATTTCTCCTTACAAAAGCACCCATGGTACAACTCAGAGACACTCAATATTTATTTGTTATCTTATTCTATGGTAATATTCTTACAATCTGGAAAATCAGCTTGCTCTTTTCCCTCTGGCATGTGCGAAAGACGACCGTGCCATCTGACATTGTGTAATCAGTTGTACCGAGTATGACTGTCAAAGGATGGAAGCATTACATTGAAATTTAATTAATAAGATTCACAGAGCTGTTTAATTTTTGCTAATGTTGCATCACACACAACAATAAAAGGTTCACTTGTCCACAATGAAGAAAATTAAGATGAATTATTGTATTTATGATATTGACATATAGTCACACTGTTGAATATACATTTTGAAAACATTTTAATACAATTCATAGGATACATGTTCAAAATTACAGTATCCAGCCAAAAAATATTGTCATGCATTATTATTTATCATTTATTTATTTAGGCATTTTTATATAGCGCTTACCTTAAAGCTCTAAGCGCTTTACAATTATTAAAAACATGTAAACTAACTAAAATAAAAATGAGACATTACGATAGTAACTACTATACTATAGAAACAATTAAAATGGCTATAAAACGAGGACACTTTGGCACGTTTTGGCCTTTATTACAGGATTAACCCGAGACAGAAAATGAGGCAGGGCAAGGAGGGTGCATCACAGGTCATAGGCGGACCTAAACAGATGGGTTTTAAGGGACTTTTTAAAAGTGGACGAGGTTTCACAATGACGGATATGGAAGGGGAGCTGGTTACATCCCTCCCAACAGTGGTGACGGCAGTGTGTTAACTTCTCATCTATTAAATTAACTTGACAAACATGCATTCAAGTAACTCACTTTATAAGAACCTCAGTTATTGCTACACACGACCCCACAACCCTATTACTGCAAAGCCCATGAAGTATATCATAGTAGTTACTATCCTAATGTCTCATTTTTATTTTAGTTAGTTTACATGTTTTTAATAATTGTAAAGCGCTTAGAGCTTTAAGGTAAGCGCTATATAAAAATGCCTAAATAAATATATTAATATTCTAATGTCCCAACCCCTTTTACACCAAATATTTATTACACCACATTTAAACAATGACTATTTCGGTAAAACTTAAAACAAAATAAATTATTATGCACCAAACGCCCTTGTGGTATTTTGAAGGATCTCAATTAGGGCTGTTGTCATGAATTTTATCTAGCCCACTATTGAAGTCACAATTATACCATACATAACTAGAGAATTATATTGATTGATAGAATCATATGTTAATAATTATTAATCATTGGAATCTTACCATTTTCATATTTTTGACACAAGAGTATTTTTCTGTCAATTATTTCCTGAAAAGCAATAATGTACAAATATTTAAATATGTCAGGAAATGTACAACATATTGAAAATTAATAAGCTATCTTCCATTTCAATAACATAAAAAACGGTGAATTAAATGAATTCACACTCACAGTGTGATAGCTGCCTGTAAACCACCTGAGTTTGACACTCTAAGATCCTGTGGGTCAAACAAACATTAAGATCCCGTGGGACAACTGTAGACAACTGTCTCTAGACAATCCGTTAGCCAATTATTCCAAAGACTTATAAGATAGATCAAGAAATGTTGGTATTCATACCTCTGTATACACTAAGTCAGCACCATAGTCCAAGGCTAAGAGTCTTGATGGCAGTGTGCCAACTCTCACCATTGGTGCCAACATAACCTTATTTCTGTACTGGTTTTCTTGTCTTCCTGGACTCATTTTTGCCATCTATCCACTGCATAGGTTAATAACTGATAATTTAAAATCACAGTGTTTGGTTAATTTTCACTCTTAACTTATGAATATAACATCTTATTCACTGTGCAAGCAGGATGTAATACTTGTCTCTATCAGTCACTTTTTCAATTTATAATTTACAAGACACTTTATTTAGTCAGTTAACTGTAACACTGTCTACTGACTAGTGCTTTTTTAGGTAATTGTTTAATAAACCAATTACTAACAATTTATAAAATAAACTAGTAGTAGCAAAGCACGAGTTTACAACAGCACGATCATCAAGACTAAATTTAAGTCTATCCCTTATGTTTTTGTCTATTATCCTTATACAACAGTGCATTATAATAATACTATTATTATACTATAATTATGCCTCTGGTTTGGTTTATGAATTGTACCGGTACGTATAATATTGTATCGTGTAGTTTTCGGATGGGAAATAGTTCTAATATAAAATATGAAATTCTGTCCCTTCATAATGATAATGCATACACATGTGGCCTATAGCTAAACAGTATTTAATAACCCAGAACTTGGTGGCATAAAAGGAGGTGTGGAGGGAGGGATTCACCTTGGGCGGCACTTTTTTACCTCATTTGGAGGGGGAGCATTTTCGGCCAACTAATTCACATTAAGTCTAAAAGCTTATTGTCAGGAGAGGGCTCTAGTCTATATACTTTTCACATACTTAGATGGCATTTACTAACAACTCTTGGCCTATATTTATCATGACTTCATGATAGATCTGTGAGGTCTAAATCCTGTGGATCAGAATAACGAATTTAGTAATAAGGAATCTATTGTACAGGCAGTAAAGCATAATAAGTAATATAAGGGATCAGTTTAAATTACTAGAGCGGAACCTCAATATGACACATCCCCCCATAATGTAAACCCGAATATAATACATTGTTTTCTGGCTACCCAAAATTTGCAGATTTTACAATTACACAGTATATTCATTCCCACATTAATTTTTTTCACAGCAGGCGACATGGGAATGGGGGACAAAGCTACTTGGGGGCGGGGGGGTGTCACAATTTTTGATGATGTATTATGACACTGTTATGAGGGTGTCTAAATTTTGTGATTGATTTGAAGAAAGAAAAAAAAAAGGGGGGGGGGGGGGGGGGTGTTGTGGGGTATGTCAAAATCGGCAAAAATAACATTGATTAAAATTTAATGTTTAATGGTCAATGCCTTTAAAAATGTGTGGGTGGGGTTTTTGCCTCACAAGTGGGCAATTTGAAGATTATGTCATTTAGCCTAATTATCAGGGGACGTTTAGTTTTAACCAGGCCTATGATATAGGAAATGTATTAAGAAAAGTAAGCTGGGGTGCGGCGGGGGTCTGGGACTCCAGAGTTGTGACTGTGACTATTAAAAATTTCTGTAAATTTCGGGACCAAATTTCAAATGATTCATGGACACTAACTTGTATTTTTGTCGTTTTTACTTATAATTTCATGCATTTAATTTTATTTTATAAAAGACTTCTACTTACCTTTTACTTTTATGAATATAAGAATAGATTTAAAATTTAACAAGCATATATTATATTTAATTAATTTTTAAAAAAATAATGCTTTTTTCCTTTCTTCCAATTATTCTGTTACTGTTAACATTTTCCTTAACAAACACTCAAATAAAACTATCCAAAATAAAAAGTTTTGATGTCATTTAAAAGTTTTGTTGTTTATTGTGTTTTATATTGCCTTGAGAATGTCTCCTGAAAATTTGGTAGCACTATCTTTTAAAATAAAAAAAGTTTTGGGCAAAATAAGGCAGAAATTTGGAAAGTGGGTCACACGTTTTTTCAGTTAAATACAAAGATAAAGAAGGGGGTTTTAAAAAATCACCAAAAAAATCATAACTCCGCTTCTATACTATACAAGATAGAAAGATGAAATTGGTGTTGCTATATATACTAAATACTATAAAGCTTATAGCCAGCCCTTTAAAATGGTGTAAGTGTCATGTATCATTCATATGGCAATCAGACAATATTTTAATTTTGTGTCAAAGTATCTACTACTGAGTACTATTATTAACATTTGGCATATGCCTATACGATAATATATATATTGTTGACTTGAACACTTATCACATGTTGAATAATTTAAAGTTTTTGACTTTTGAATAAAACGTTTGTTGACTTTTTACTTTTTTTATTTGACTTTTCGCAAAACTTACAGTTCAATCACTTCAATGATTCAATGTCACTTTCCCTTTAAAATAATTTTGTAACATTTCCACGGCAATTCGTTTACTATCATGGGTGATAATTAGCTATAAAATAAGGTGTAATCTTTATTGGGCTTACCCTTTATTGCTATTTATAAAGAAGAATGAAAATAAAATTCTTATGCAGTCTTAGTGTCCTGGTCAAGACACTTGAGTCGTTTTAAGACAATGGACATCACTTCCGCTTCCTGAAACTACACAACTTTCGCTACAAGGAAGTGCCATACGTAAACAATGGGCGACTTTGAGATAGATGCAGTTCTACAATTTATGCTATCTAAAGGTGGCCGAGTTCGAAATCATGAACTTGTTACACATTTTAAAAATGTGTTAAATCATCCTATCAATAAAGGTATTCAATTAAAAAAGTGTCATATTATTATCAGGATACAATACTGAGTCACGCAGTTTAAAAGATGGATGAGTCATGAATCAAAATTGGTCAAAAGTTAACTTTAATTTTAGGCCTACTACTACTAATACAAGTAATAATACTCAGTCTAGACTGTGCTAAAAAAAATTTGGGCTAAAAATATTGTCAGTAATAACACTACTAACAGATCAATCTTAATGACATTCAAATGATAACTCGGTCCAGACTTGTCAGTCATGTCTTTTAGTTTTATGAATATTGAGTGCACTCAAGACACAACTAACAGTAGAGTAACATGTATGGGAGTTTTTTTTAAGCCCCTTGAAAGCCCCGGTCTTCTACAGTTAAAGGGTTAAAAATAGTTCATTTTACCATACCCCAAACCACCATTTACTTAAGTTTTAAGTACTTAACAGGGTACACATTTATTTGAATTGACTCATGTGTTGTATTCGTATGCGTACTTTAACCCTTTCTTTACTAGTTATATCCTGGTTAGTACAAGGAAATAAAACTAGGCCTATCACATTCATTTTGAGCCTCTCATAAAGTAAGGGGACAATTGTTATTCTCTACTTTGACAGCAGTCAGTCAAAACAAAATATTTTTGGGAATCCCCTGACCTCTGATCTGTGTGATGTGTATAACAAGTAATATAGCTCTGACTAATATGCCAAATATATAAAGCTGCTTACACTAACTATAGGAACAAGAGAGAAGAGGAATATAAAAGCTTCTTAAGACTTGGCAGTCCCATGATTATGGATAATATGAAATATGATTACTAAAATCCTTTAATTCAATTTATTGTGAAGAAATATGTGTCTCAACTTATAAGGAAGAATTTAATAGGCCTATATTTCAATTTATTATTTTGCTTTGGTAAGTCGAATCTTGTCTGAAATTTGTATGACTGTTCTTGGTTTTAAATCACAGATATTCTGAAATACAATTAGAAGGATGATTTCTAAATGGAAATTTGTTTTTAGGAACTTTTTTAAAAGTGTAGATATCTTATGCTTTGAAATAAATAAATATTATAACTAGATTAATCTGTGAACTTTAAACTGTGTTTAAACTAGAGAATTGTTCCAATGGTAAAAAAGTTAATTTATTGGTCATTAAAAACAAATAACTTTTTTCCCTCAGAGTTTACATTTTATCTTCAATGTTTTAGTTATTTAAGATATTTATAATTTGAATACTACTTTCCCAGCACTAAACAGAGAAAAATTTAAAGACTATGTTAATGAGCTCTCTACTATCAAGCTTGATTTAGTAAGTACATTTACTTTTATAATATTTAAAAAAAAATATTAGTTTGAAACAATCCAAAGTTTCTTGATTTTTAGGTCACTTTTCTGTTTAACATCGGTTTAACAGTTTCAGCAATGCATACTTTAAAAAATATAAACATCTTAAGGACTAGATTGCGCAACATCAAAATATTCCACATAATTCTTTTACTTTTGAGGTACCGTACTAGAGCGAGAGAGTTTCTTGATGATTTGTTAATGCATGCTTGTATGTTCCCCAGGGGGAGAGGGTTTTGATGAGTTGTTAAATTGTGCTTTTATTTCGCCCAAGGGGAGAAGGTTTTGGTGCTCAACCCATATGTGCTTGTATTTACCCAGGGGAGAAGGTTTTGAACAGTTGTCAATACATGCTTTGATTTCCCCAGGGGGAGAAGGTTTTGATCAGTTGTCAATACATGCTTTGATTTCCCCAGGGGGAGAAGGTTTTGATCAGTTGTCAATACATGCTTTGATTTCCCCAGGGGGAGAAGGTTTTGATCAGTTGTCAATACATGCTTTGATTTCCCCAGGGGGAGAAGGTTTTGATCAGTTGTCAATACATGCTTTGATTTCCCCAGGGGGAGAAGGTTTTGGTGCTCAAGAAAAAGTATCGCCCTGTGTCAGGAGACTTTGAATTTTCTAGCAATTCCTTAACATCTTCTTCATCAACATCCCTCTCATTATCCGGATCATCATCATCTTCCTACATGAAAAACACAGTGACCCCCAAGCCTGCAGCTTCTGAACCAAATCTAACTCCAGCAAAAATGACAACTGAGTCCACATCCAAGTCGTCACAGAAAGAAAATATACCAGCACAAAATGATTCGCCAAGGGCACAGTCTGAGCCTCCGGCAGGTATTCCACTTTTATGAAACTTTAAATTAAATGAAATATGCGTAATTCTTTGTTGATCATTTTCTCTTTGCGGACCAACTAAAGCTCTTTGATGGTCCCGGTTGGCATGCTGCAAGCGTGCCGCATCTGTTGGACATCACCTAAAATTATATTATTTACATGGGTTTCCGGAGCATTTCAACCTACACCACTTCTCAATATAGGGCACTCGGCTAGCAAGTGCCCAACTGTCCCTGGTTCCTACCCACAGTGGTGGCAGCTCGGGTCCCAAAGAGAGTTTAGTCTATTTAGATAACCCCTGTTATTCTTAGTTACATTATGGCAATCTCTGCTTCTTCTTCTTTATATTAAGGGCCTACAATCAATATATTGAACATTCTGGCCCTATGTACCTGGCATTGATTTGTGTGATTTGTGATATGTTCACTTACATTGAGATTTCTCTAATACAGTAGGGACAAGTTCCTTCCATATAGATTATTATCT